ACCAAGGCCAAGAATCTGTAGCTAGATAGGTCATAGGCCCTAGGAGAAAACCTATAACTGTTAATGGGATATAGTATTAAACTGACTCTCAATGATTTATTTTTATATGCATAGATTAGTGCATTCTTCACCACTCATCAGAGAAGCTTCTTTCTGTAGTAGATGGTATATAATATAGAGATGCACAACTGCTGGAGACAGAGAAAATAAGAGTCTTCAAAATTCTCAGCCCTAAACAGAACATCCATATCATGGCCACACTTCTCAAGGCTTAGGGATCTTCGTGGAAGAGGAGACTGGAAGACTGAGAGAACCAGAGGTTGTAGATGACTACATGGAAATAGTGTTTCCTGAACATAGCAGGCTATGAATTAATTTACAGCAGTTAAGATAGTGTGTATAGGCTCTGCACAAGTTCAAGCCAGATGAAATTCCAACATGGATGGAAGAGGTGAGCAAGAAGCTTCACACCCTAGCTAGGGAGCTATTGGCAACTGATAGTTGTTGGTAAAGAAGGAATCATTTTTCTTTAAGAGTTCAGCCCATGCTGGGTTGACCACTACTCCAGCTGAAGGCCACACATCCAGCACGAACTATACTTGTTATTTTTTTAATCATTATTTTACACTGATTCACTGCTGAGCCAAGTCAGTTTTTTAAAAATGATTTATTTTTTGAGATTATAATATAATTATATCATCTCACCCTTCCTGTTCCTTTTTCCAAATCTTCCCATATACCCATCCTTGCTCTCTTTCAAATTCATGGCCTCTTTTTTCTTTTTTATTATTAAGAACTTTCTGTTCATTTTACATACCAACCATAGATGCCCCTCTCCTCCCTCTTCCTGCTTCCCCCAGCCTCCCCCCCAATTTACTCCCCATTTCCATCTCCTCCAAGGCAAAGCCTCCCATGGGGAGTCAGCAGTGCCTGGTACATTCAGTTGAGGCAGATCCAAGCCCCTCCCCCTTAACCAAGGCTGTGTAAGGTGTCCCACCATAGGCACTAGGTTCCAAAAAGCCAGCTCATGCACCAGGGATGGATCCTGATCCCACTGCTGGGGGCCCCTTAAGCAGGTAAAGCTAAACAACTGTTTTGCCTATGTAGAGGGTCTAGTCCAGTCCCATGGAGGCTCCACAGCTATTGGTCCACAGTTCATGAGTTCCCACTAGTTTGGTTTGGTTGTCTCTGTAGGTTTCTCCATCATAATCTTGATACCCCTTGCTCATAAAATCCCTCTTCTCTCTCTTTGACTGGACTCCTGGAGCTTGGCCTCTTTTTTCATTGTTATTATCTGTGTGTGTGTGTGTGTGTGTGTGTGTGTGTATTTCTAAATATAACCTGCTCAGTCTGTATAACATTAATTGTGGAAAACTATTTCTCCTGCTCTTGGCATTCCTTAGTTGCCTGTAGTTCTTTGTGTAGGGTTGAGGCCTTGGCCTTCCCCATCCTCATTAGCATGTCTTTTGTGGTCCCTGTTCAGTTCATGTTTAGGTAGTCATGTTGGTGAGACATTATGGGTGTAGCTTCTGACATTACCAGGAAACAATATCACAAAACTCCCCAATAATCCAGCTCTTACAATATTTCTGCCCTTTCTTCACTACGTGTTCCTAGCATTAGGTGTAGATATATCCACTGGGACTGTGGTCCACGGCCCTGCATTTTTATTGGTTGTGATTTTCTATAACGGTATCTACCAGTTGCAAAGAGTAGTTTCCCTGATGAGAATTGAGAACTACATTTATCTGTGGGTTTAAGATTTTTTTTTAAAGGATACCAAATTGGGGTGAAAAATGATCTAAATATGTTGTATGAAATTCTCAGCTAATAAAAATAAGAAAAAATAGATAAATAATTGGTTACCTTTGGTGAGTAGGGGTGGGCATGAGGGAGTGGAGGCCAAACAATGAACACAAAGCAAAATGAAACAATCCTCCCCAACTTGAACCATTGTCATTGTATGAATCTTTTATTTTTTTTAACAGGTGCCCATTTCTCTGATAAAATAGAACTTTAATCACTTTAAAAAGAAAGTTTTAAAATAAATTTAAAAACCTTTAATATTGTAAGAATCTTTTCATGAGAAACCCATTAGAGGTGCTTTTAAATAGTTCCCATTCATCTAAGCTCACAGCATAGAACTCCACCAGGGAAGGTGATGCCCCTGGGTAGTTGGTCTTTATACCAGAACTTCAAACACCCAAAGAAGATAAAATAAACTTGACATATCCCTTGGCACAGTGTGTTCACTACTGAGAAAAAAGAAGCTATGCATAAAGCAGAGAGAGAAGTTGTCTCACAGTGAACACAGTTCTCAACAAAGAACACTAAGAGAGAAAGATTAACACCAGATTTTACCCATCACGATGAACAGAATTTAAGACACAAAAATGAGACCTGGACACACAGAATACGAAATTCTTTTGTGGATTGCACTCCAAAAGAAGTTGATATTCAGGCATCAAGAATGGGAACATGGGTCAGTAAGATGGCTCAGCAGGTAAAGGCATGTGCTGGGCAGGCCTGGTGATCAGAATTTACCCTTGAAATCGATGTAAAGGTAGAAGGAAAGAACCACAAAATGGTCCTCTGAACTCCACAAACATATCATGGTGCTCTCCCCTCCCCTCCCCTCCCCTCCCCTTCCCTCTCCTCTTCTCTGTGTCTGCTTGTCTGTCTGTCTGTCTGTCTGTCTCTCTCTCTCTCACACACACACACCAATAAATAACAATAAAGAAAGAAGTATGGGAACATATGGTAACTCAGAGGCAGAGCATGCGTTTAGTATGAGCCATGTCCTGGATTCAATTCCCAGCACCAACCAGTATTGAACCCTGGAAATATGATCCTTATGACTAACTCCTTTATACTGGAATGATGCTTCATATTTGTAATTTTCAGTTAGTTGTGGTAAGGAAACCCATTATAATGCCATGCCTCATTTGAGAGTCAGGCTTGTTAACAAAATCTATTATTATTTAGAGGTCAAAGATCTATATTCAAGATCACACTCTGCCACTTATTAAATATGAGACACCAGCCAAGTCCTGTAACATATCTAAAAACAGTTTTCATTTGAATGCTCATCTCATTTGAGATTATAAACGATAACAATTAACAGCAATAAAAATAACCATCCTTTGGTGCCAGAGAGATGGCTTTGCGGGATTCCTCCTTTAGAAAACCTGAGTTCAGTTCCCAGCACTACTTTGGGCGGCTCACAACTTGTCTGTAACTCTAGTGGCAGGGATGCATTGCCAGATTCTGGCCTTCACCAGCATTCCACCAGCGTATGTGACCTTCACTCCCTCCTAGACACATAAATATAAAAACAAAAGCTTTAAAAAATAGCCATCTAGCCGGGCGTTGGTGGCGCACGCCTTTAATCCCAGCACTCGGGAGGCAGAGCCAGGCGGATCTCTGTGAGTTCGAGGCCAGCCTGGGCTACCAAGTGAGTTCCAGGAAAGGCGCAAAGCTACACAGAGAAACCCTGTCTCGAAAAACCAAAAAAAAAAAAAAAAAAAATACCCATCTTAACCCATCTTAACCCTTGTCCACTCCCCGCCTGCTTCAACATAATATTTTTTTATTTGTTATTTGTTGATCACACTTGATTCCCATTCCTCTCTGGTCCCCCTGAGAAAGGAAAGAGAAATACATCAAGTTTGTGGTCAGGGCTGCTGCTGAAGGTCATATTGAGGTCCATGGCCTGTGCTGCCACTGGAGACCATGTCAAAGTCTGTGTGGGAGGCTGTGTGGACGTCTGCGGTCCATGCTGTGGCCAGAAATCACGTGGAGGTCCCCGGTCAGGGCTGCCACTGGCTTTTATGGGCAAGGATGCTTCTTTTGCAGTGATATTGAAGACCTGTGCCCTTTTTTTTTTTTTCCAAAATTCTAGAGCTCATATACGGCATATACTTTAAACTTATAAAAATCATTTTAATGTCATTTCCAATCATTATTATGGAGAATAGGTTCTCATTCACTGAGCAGTTGCCAACTTCTATTCTTTTCTCTCTATTTGGGGCCTAATCAATTAGGGTGGGGAGTGTGAGGTCAGCAGGAGGTCCCGCCAGCTGCAGCCAGCTGCTTAATGCCAGCACATTAATGGGCACCTACCAGGAAGATATGACCTGTTGAGTGTAACCTTCCTCATTGCTGCCAATATCTAGGCGCTCTAAGGAATTGCAAAGAAACTTCAAGAATATAGTCTACCACTCTAACACAGATGTTCTACTGTTGATGGAAAACATTTTCTCATGCAGTCCTGAGGAGTTTAAAACTTTAGAGATGGATAGGTGATGCTGATTGGAATTTTACTACATAAAAGAGATTTTTGAAATGACATTTACTGTATTTGGTAACAGATTTTTTGCAAAGGAAACATCAGAACTATTAACTTGCTGGTTTGTTTACCTAGCACCTATAAAATGTGTTGTCAGCTATCTATGGGAAATGTATGCTACTCACAAAAGATACTAGAAGATAAGTCAGACAGAGTAATGGGCTTTACGAAGAGGTGCCTCCCTGTGAATTAGCGAGTTTCGCTGACCACGTTAGACGTTTCTGTGTGCTGGTGAGGATAGGGAAGGGATTGCTGCAGGAATGAAAATCCCCAGGCTCAGTGACGGAGGATGACACGACTCATTTCTCACACACAGTCTGTGCCAGTTTGGGCAAACTTCCAAGATGCTGTCTCCTTTCTGTTGGCTCAGCAGTCAGGATATGGTACTTTTGTGTCTTCATGATTGAGATGGCAGAGAAAAACACAATGAACTTCCTTGGGCCAAAAAAGACACAGATTATCTCCACTGGTAACCTGTTTTCCACAAACCCCTGACCAACCTAAATGAAGCAGAGGCTGAGGGAGGGCACCTATGGAAGGACTGAAGATAACATCTTTTATTCAAAGATTTATTTTTCTGTGTTTAATCATGTGCATGTCTGTGTATCTGTGCACATGAGGGCAGGTGCCCCAGGAAGCCAGAGGCATTGGATCCTCCAGGGCTGGAGTTGCAGGCAGTTGTGAGCCATCTGAAGTAGGTTCTGGGAATCAGTCTTGGGGCCCGTAGAAGAGCAGTGTGCACACTTAACTGCTACGCCACCTCTCCAGCCTCTGGAGGAAAACATCATTGTGAACATTCATAAATCTTGAATGGACAAACGCCGTTCCCCCACTGTTCCGCTTACAGACTGCTATCTCTCATTAATGTTACTATCTTATGGAAACGAATTAAATAGAAACAAGTGGCAAACCAGAAGCCTGAATTGGTTTAATTTTTGGTGGAAAGCCAGGATATGAGTGGGCCTGAATCATAGAACTCAATGAATCAGACCAACCTTGAGTAAGGAAAAGTACACTGATAATTCGCCAATATGATCAATTAATCAAAAGGAATCAACTGTTTCAGAATCCATGTTGCTTCTTCCTTTATTGCACTTTGAAGGAACTCACTGTGATGTGAGTTGCTGTTAACCAAGGGAGCCCATTAGTGGAGTGATCCCACTTGGCACCTCCGATAAAGGAGGACGCGTCCCACTAGAACTACCTCTGGTCATTTCTGCATCTTGTCTATGGTGAATTGCACTGCAACAAATAGAGAAGAGCAGACGCCTCTTTAATACACTGATTTCATTTGCTTAGCGTAGATGCTCTAGCTTGGGAATGCTGGGTCATTTAGAAGTGCTACCTTCATTTGTTTTGAGGAATCTTCCTATTGTGTTTCACAATGGCTGAAACAGTTTATATCCTCATCAACAATGTGTAATAGCTTTCCTTTCTTCACATCCTCACTTCTGTTATTGAGACAGGGTCTGGCTACATATCCCTGGCTGGTCTGGAATTTCCCATTTAGATCTGGACAGCCTATAACTCAAAGACCCTCCTGCTTCTTGCTTTTAAGTGCTCCTATGCTTTTTATCTTTAGTCCTTTAGAACAGTAGTTCTAACAGGATTGTGAAGTCTCATTGGGGTTATTAGATTTCCATTTTCATGATAATTACTGATGTTGACAATCTTTTAATGTACCTCTTGAGTAATGGTTCATATTTTAGGAAAATCTATATAGATCTACTACTCACACTTTCTTTTTTTAAACCATTGCTTCTTTATAATGGTAATGGTGTGGTTCCCACCCCATTTATTGAAAAGATGGTCCTTTATTGCATATTTTTAGCACCTTTGTTGAAAATAAGTTTGCTACTGGTATGTGGGTTTATTTCTAGGCTGTTCTGTTCCATTGGTTTTTGTGTCTGTTTTGATTACAGTAAATTTATAATATGTTTTGAACAAGACAATGTAATGTGATACCCTTGGTTTTGTTCTTTTTACTCAAGACCACCTGGATATTTAGTAATTTTTGAAGTTTCATAGAAATGTTAGCAATATAAAAATGTATATAATATATATTAGTTCTGTGAAGAATGCAATTCAACATGTTGATTTGCATTACATTGGATTCATGAATTGTTTTGGGTTGTATGAGTAGTTTAACAATTGACTCTTTCAGTCCATGAACATGAGACACCTTTATATTTTATAATTTTCAACATCTTTCCTTAATGCTTTCAAATTTTCATTACAGATTTTAAAAAATGTTTCCTAGGCAAATTTCTTCCTGTAGCTAAACTTTTTAATTGCATTTATTTATTGTATAGAGTAATGAGTGCTCTGAAGATATTTTCATATAAGTACATAACATACTTTGAGTATATTTACTCTTCTACTTGCTTGTCTCCCATTATTCTCCTTTGTCACCATAGTCTCAATACTACATTCATGCCATGTATGTCTGATTTTATGTATGCATGTGTGTATGAATGTATGTATTATTTGTATATATAAAATCTAGGATCCATAAATTAGAGAAGATAGGCAATAATTCTCTTTCTTTTTTTTTTTTTTTATGTGATTTGCTTTTTTATTTTTATTTTTATTTTTTTTTTTTTGTGATATATATTTTTTATTTTACAATACCATTCAGTTCTACATATCAGCCATGGGTTCCCCTATTCTCCCCACTCCCACGCCCTCCCCTTACCCCCAGCCCACCCTCCATTCCCATCTCCTCCAGGACAAGTCCTCCCCCGAGGACTGTGATCGACTTGGTAGACTCAGTCCAGGGAGGTCCAGTCCTTTCCTCCCAGACTGAGCCAAGTGTCCCTGCATAAGTTCCTAATAATTCTCTTTCTAAGTGGTTCATTTGCTAATTGTGATGATCTCCAGTTGCATCCCTGCAGATACTGTAGGAGCTGTTGCTGTCTTGATTTATATTTCAGATTATCTTCTCTAGCACACTACTGATCTTTGTATATTCATTCTCTATCTTTAAACACTGATGAATTCATTTACTAGTTCAGATGGTTTTTGGTGGCTTTTAGGCATTACTTATAAATATTATGTCATCTGGAAACAGTGGCATTGTGACTTTTTTCCCCTCCAATTTGAAATGTACTTTATTTCTTTCTCTTGCATCATGCCTTTGGCTAGGACTTCCATAACTGCGGTGAGTAAAAGTGGTGGAAAAGACACATCTTTTTCTTGTTTTAGATCATATCTCTTAATGATCTTTATTGTGTTCAATACATTATATCTATGCTTAATTTGATCAGTATTTAAACACTTTTTATTGTATTTATTATTTATTTGTTTGTTTGTGTATGTATGTGTATGCGTATGTAGTGTGTAGGTCAGAGGACAACTTAAAGAGTTTGTTTTTTGGTCCCAGTGATCAAACTCAGACCATCTGGCTTGTTGGCGATCACCATTACCCTCTCTGATGCATCTTGCCTGCCCTAAGTAGCATTACTCTTTAATTATAAATTGAATCTTATCAAATGCTTTTTCTGCATCTAACAAGAAAACAGTAATTTTTCCCCTCCTTTCTGTTGATGTGGTCATTGATTTTCCTATATTGAACCATCTTTGCATTTCTACATGAATCCCATTTTAGTGTGGCGAATAATCTTTCTAAAGAGCTGTTGGGTTTGGTTTGCTAATCTTCTGTCGAGGACTTCTGCATCTATCGTCACTAGGGGAATTTCCCCTTTTTTGTAGTTCCATGTTGATCTGTTTGGTATAAAGGTAATTCTGACCTCATGAAATGTTTTGGTAAGAATTTATTTTAACAACATAATTAATGTATTTAGTAGGCAAGCACATCATTTTCTTAGAGAAGATTCTACATAATCTGATAAACTAAATTAGCAGATTTTTACTGAGCGCTTCCCTTGTTAGCACTGGGGAGTCTCATTCAAATGTTTGGTAGAAGTTAACAGTGAAGTAACTTAGTATTGTGACAGGAGACTTTTTGTTAGGATAAATCTTCCCACTTATCCATTCAGGTTTCTATTTTTACATGAGTCAGTCTTGGTAATGGGGAGGTATCTATGAAAGGTGTACATTTCTTCTGGATCAACTTGTTGGTATGTACTTTCCAGTGATCTCTAATTACCTGTTTTATTTGCAATGTCAGTTGTGAGGTTCCCTTTTCAGCATTTATTTATTACTGGAGTCATCTCTTTTCCTGGTTATTTATTTATTTATTTATTTATTTATTTATTTATTTATTTATTTATTTATCCACCTCGTCTCTTTTCCTAATCATCTCTCTCTCTCTCTCTCTCTCTCTCTCTCTCTCTCTCTGTCATCATCTCTTTTCCTGGTTAGCCTAAACTTAAGACTTTGTCATTTTGTTTAATTTTTCAAACAACTACTTCTCTGTTCTTTCCATCTTTTGCATTTGTCTGCTTTTAACCTTTATTAGTTCCTTCTAATTTGTATTTGATTTGTTCCTGAGATATACTAACCTGTCATTTATTTGAACTATTTCTACTTTTAAATCATTTCAGTGTACTCCAATATTTGCTGCTTGCATATTTAGTTAATGAGTGAGAATATGGGAAGTATTGGGGAGCTGGGACTGGAGGATCAAGTTGGGGAGTGCAAGGGAAGAGGAGGATGAGAAAGTGAATATGGGGAGGGACAACTAAAATTAAAGGCCATTTTGGGGTAGCACACAAACCTAATACCTAGTAGAAGCTTCCTAAAATATATACATACATGAAGGCAATCTAAATGAAATCACCGAATAATGGGTGAAACAGAGTCCTAACTGGACATCTCTTGTCATGGAAAGAAGCTTCTAGTCCTGGAGTTAGGTTATATTTAATTGAGTTGTTGGCCAAAGGGGCCCATGGGAGTCCCCAAACAACCAGTATATTACCAAAGCTATTAGCTATTCTCCACAAACTGATAGCAAGTCTCCATTGCTGAAGACAACACCTACAGAATTCATTGAACATGGTGAAGTCAAGCTAATCTACACAGAACCTTCATCTCTACCATCAGTGTCTTTGGGTACAGGAAGGTACTTTGCATACCAAAGAGAAATGCAAACACCAAGCCAGCCTCACACTTTTTGATCAACAGTGGTGTCCTGCCTGCAAGATAGGATGATATAATAGTGTCACAAAGCTTGTGGGATTAACCAACCAATATCTGATTTAACTTACGATCCACTTCATAAGATGGAACTCATATTAGACACTGCCTGTGTGAGCAAGAACCAGAGGCTGGACCTAGAATAAAACCAAATAATGCTGTTCTTAAAAAACATAACAATAAAATGACACCTTTGGTATTCTGCTCATAGCTCATAGATTAGTTCCTTGTTCAGCCATCATCAGGGAAGCTTCTTCTTAGAGCAGATGGGAATACAAAGACCCGTCTTAGTCAGGCATTACGCAGAAAGCAAGAGACCTTGGAGTATTCGGCCCTAAATGGGATGCCTTCATCAAATACTTCCCTTCAAGGCTCAGGGAACCCTGTGGAAGAGGAGGAGGAGGAAAGAGTGTAAGAGACATAGGGGATGGAGTACAGCAGGAGAACAAGACCCTCTAAATCAATAATATCGATGCACATATGAATGCCATAGGGCCTGTATGGTTCTGCACCAGATAGGGTCCTAAGAGCTGAAAGGAGGAGTGGACATTTACTCCCATCCCTAACCCAGAAGCTGTCTCTAATTGATAGCCACTTGCAAATAAAAATTTAGTTTCCTCTAAGGGAGTCTCAACTGGGGAAACAAACTACTCTTAAGGGCAGGTTACATGCCCTGCAGTAGATGGCCAACAGGAAATAAACTCAATGACTTCTTTGGAGGTTCTTTGTCTCATAATGTCATCTCAGGATTTCCTCATTGTTTTTTTTTTTTTTAAATTATCTTATTTTAATTTTATTTACATATTTAATTTTTTCTCCCTTTTTACCCTACAGGTCCTTTGTGTATACATATTATAGCTTCCAGTTTAGTATTTTTATGGGATTAGTGAATATGCAATGGAATGGGTTCTGTGTTTATGTCTGTTTCTTTGACCTTTTCTTGGGCTCTTTTCCTTCCGTTTTCTTTGTCCTGTTCCAAAGTGCTGTGCTGGTTTTTGCTTTCTCTTGTTATATTTTACTATACTTTCTTATTATCTCATAGAAGTCTGGTTTCTAATGAGAGATGGAAAGAGGGGCACATCACAGTGAATATTATGTGAGAAAAAAATCTATTTTCAGTGAAAGGAAATAAAAATAGATGAAGAAAAAATGAACTAGAGTTTAGAGAATTTTCTTTTAGCCATAATACTTCTTTAACACAGCAGTTGCTTCTAGGTTCCAGCATAAGGCTTTAGAGTGACATTTGAAGAAATATAAGTAATTCAGGAAACCACACTTGACTTGTGTTTGTTTTTTGCATGTGTGGATAAAAGTTTGTCAGTTTGCAGGAGAAATAAAGAATAGTTTGTGGTTAGTGTAGGGTGTTTCCTGTATACGTTGCAAATTTTGTGTTTATGTGTTTCTAATTCCATGTCATTTATTTATATTGACATCCATAGCATTTTGAGCTATGGGGACATATAAAAATGATTACAGATTACACCACTAAATTCCTTTGTGACTTTTCAGGCTTCAGTGTGCTCATTTCAGGGTTTTTTTAAAAAAAAATATCTTTTGCAAAAGCATGCATTCTTTTGTAAAAAAGCTCCTTTTAATGTATCATAAAAGACATTTTAGCAGAAGTGCGCTTTCTCAGTAACAGGAGACTATTTTCCTCATGTCTAAAAAGCTAATTTTCTGCCCCCAAAGGGATAATACTACTGTATAGTATTGAAGAATTAAGGACATTTGGCATGAAAGACAGCAACCTAGTGAAACAAAAGAAAATTACAAGTGATAATACCGATGAACTCGGTTTCTTCATTTTTTCCTAATTAATTGAAAATAGCTCTTTTTTCCCACACAATATATCCTGACTATGTTTTCCCTCCCTCTACTCCTCCCAGTTCCTCCCCACCTTCCCTTCCATCCAGATCACCCCCTTTCTATCTCTCATTAGAAGAGAAACAAGTTTCTATGGGATAATAAGGAAATAAAATAGAATATAATAAGATAGAACAAAAACTAACACATTGGAATTGGACAAATCAAACAAACAGAAGAGCCCAAGAGAAGGCACCAGAAACAGAGACCCACTCACGTGCACACTCAGGAATTCTATAAAAACATTAAACTGGACGCCATAATATATATGTAAGGGGCCTATAGGTTAAAAAGAGAGAAGAAACAACAACAACAACAATAATAATGATAATAATAATAATGAAAAATAACCAATTACTATTAAGGGTAGGATGGACACCCAGCAGTAGATAGTCAACAGAAAATGAACTCAATGTCATCTTTGGAGGTCCCTTGTCTCATAATGTCCTGTCAGGGTTTTTTCTTTTGTTCTTTTTTTGTTTGTTTGTTTAATTTTAACTTATTGTTTTTTATTTTCCAGTTCCTTCTTTTTAACATTCAGTAGAGAAGCAAAGATTGCAAAATCAAAGTCTGCTTTCTACCTTTTAATAATGGCCCTTCAGTAAGCCTCAATTTAACCACCAGTAGAGTAAGACAATTAAGCAAGATATTCTCTGTGGATGTTTATGTTAATGAAAAGCTATAACACCATGTTGTGGGACTACCTAAAGAAGTTATTTTGACCATGGTACTCTCAGGAAGTTAAGTGCTTCAGAACATATAGTCAAGCCATCTATGTTTGAAAAGGAAGAGTTCTAAGAAAGTAATCTACAGGTGCCTATAGGTCCCGGGAATGGGCCATTAGAAGAGCGCATGCATCCTCAGCACCTTCTTGATGTCTTCTCCAACCTTTTACCATTAACGTTTATACCACAGCTAACCTCAGCTGACGCGAGGATAATCTTCCTGCTCCACCCGCTCTGCTTGGACTTCCTCATTCCATCAGTGTCCTTTTACAAAACAGCATTTTCCAGAGGCTCCCTTGCTCATCTTCCCAGGTAAGAATGCTTCGGTGGATACCTGTAGATGCTGCTACCTCAGGATTCTAAAGCTATGCTCTTGCTCTTCTGTGTCAGACTCTGTCATTTTTTAGACGCACCCTGGATCATCAAGGCGGTCACGCCTTTCAGTTAAGGAAATGTTTCTAGGAACTACAGACCACTTATTTTGTTTAACAAGAGCCCTTTTGTTTAACAAGCAACCTTGAACCTGACCTCTTATTCCCTTGATGCAAATGACCTGACTGAGCAACATGGCTTCGTCTGGTAGACACTGAGCATTTTCTTACAGAAGATTCTATGTAAACTGATGACCTAAAATATTCCCACTGAACAGTCCTGTGGTAATACTGGCAAATCTCATTTGCTAGGCAATGAACATGTTAAATTGTCAAATTGAAAAACCTGGAGTCAACAGAAGAAGCATGTGTTGCCTAGATATAATGGGCAATTTTTAGGTAATAAAAAATATTTTGATTTTTATGTCTGGTCAATCTATGGCAAATTCTCTTTCTTGGATTTGTTCACCAAATTTCACAGAAAGTTCTTCAGATACCTTTCATTTTGCTTTCAATATGTAACAGTATTTCCCTTGGTATTTAGTCAATTCATTAATCCAGCTGCTGTTTCTTTAAAACTTTATTTATTTATTTATTTATTTATTTTTCATTCACTCACTCACTCACTCACTTACTTACTTACTTATTTTACATCCTGGCCACAGTTTGCCCTCCCTCCACTCCTCCCAGTCTGGTGCACTCTGGGTAGGATTTGCAGAAGGAGGGGGAGGCAGGAGGATCACCAGCTACTGTTTCTTAAGCACCCCTTCAGGTAAGCAAGCCTCTGACTTCTCTGAGCGGCTGTATCCTGCTTCTGACTGGCCCATCCATGGCAGCCTGGACTTGCCCATCTTCAGTGCATCCTGAGGCTGAGGTTTCTCTGATTTCTTAAGACCCAATTGTTTACTTTGGAGACATGGTCCTTGATGGCCTAGCTGCTAGCTATCTTTTCGGCATCAATCAGAACTACATCCTCTTCCTCTTCCTTCTCTCGCCCTCTCTCCTTCAATTACCACAATTTTCTTGCAAATCCTCATATTTACCAAGAGCTGCCTGGCTCTCATGTCTTTGAAAATGTTATCTGCTTTGCCCGAAACACTTCACACCCCTCTCGCTTCCATACCTAATCAGCAAACGTCTAATCATCTTCCAAGCACTACTTCATTAGCAAACTCTCAAGTGACCTTTCTAAGTGGGTCACTTATCTCTAATATATGCTTTCAGCACACTCCCTCCACTCTGCCATGATAATAACTTTTGCCATGTTAAATTTACTTCTGTAATAAGTTAATGAATATCTATCTTCCCGATTCAACTAAAACTCTGGTTATCCAGGGTCACCATTTTTTCTGAATGACAAAGCAAAGTGATAGGTTCTTCATGAGTGTGGATTATATGAAACAAAAAATAACATACTGTTTGATATCATGATACAAAATATCAGGCTACACACAATGAAAATCCGTCTCATGTGACGACTGGTGTGGTTTGGACATAATGCTTCCTCTCTGAAGTCATGTGTGGAAAGTTTTGGTTTGTCCTAATGCAGTGCTCAGAAGTGGGGCTTTGGGAAAGTGATCTGATCATGAAGGTTCTGACCTATTCAGTAGATTAACCCACTGATAGACTCAGATTTCAATAACCTTACTAAGAGGTAATAATAACTGACAGGTGAGACCTATTGACATACATAGGCCATGGATATGTTTTGAAGGCTGCTGCCTGTTAAGTGTCCTCTTCTCTCTCTGCTCCCTGGCCATCATGAGTTGAGTAGCTTTGTCTTACCACATGCCGCCTTCTTTCATGCTCTGCTTCGCTGTAATGTAAAGGCAAAGGTGTCAGTCCGTTATTTGCTGGTACCAGCAACTGAAATAAACAGTTCCTTTTCTAAACTGTTTACCCAAGGGATTCTATCATAGCAAGAAGATGGGGCTAATACGGTGGCTTTTTGAAGCCCCTTGGAGAGTCTCCATGTTGATAGTTTTCCTATCTTTCCCAGATTAAATTCAAAAGTTACAGTTTTGTGGTGCATTTTTTTTTCTTTTTTGGTTTTTCAAGACAGGGTTTCTCTACGTAGCTTTGCGCCTTTCCTGGAGCTCACTTGGTAGCCCAGGCTGGCCTCGAACTCACAGAGATCCGCATGGCTCTGCCTCCCGAGTGCTGGGATTAAAGGTGTGCACCACCACCGCCCGGCTGCATTTTTATTATGTAAGCTCCTCGCTAACTTATCCTAAGCAGACATCAATGGGAGGATAGGAAGCCTGTTTTGAAGCTCTTGAGGCCTCAGGATATTTTAGCAAATGCAGTCAGTATTTCAGATATCCAGTATATCTGTATTGAGCACTTGGGCAGCAGGTCCTGTTTGGTTTTGTTTTTCCCCTTTACTTAAACAATAGGCCCAGGCAACAGTGGGATTTATACAAGACTGGAGTCAGGAATGTTTGGGCATTCCTCCTTTCTGTACAACTTTGGACTGCTGTATTTTCATTGAAAATGGTTGAGTTGGTGATCCTTGAGACTGTAACCCATTCTCCCTCAGCTTCAGCTACCTACAGCAGATTCTTTTGTCTTCTCAGAGCCTCCAAAGCAATTTTTCTTCATTCCAATATTTATTTTTGAGTACACATGTGTATGTGTGTGCATCTGTATGCATGTGTGCATATGTGTGCCTGAGAATGTATGTGTGCATTTGTGTCCAGGAGAATGCGTTGGAGAACCTAGATCTGGAGTCATAGGTGACCGTTAGTTGGCTGCCTCACATGGATTTTGGAAACAAAACTCAGGACCTTTGAAAGAGCAGTAAGGGCTTTTAACTGCTGAGCCATCTCTAGCCCATGGTTCTCTTTTAATAAACATTTATTTTGTTTTTAATTGTGTGTGTATGTGTGTGTGTGTGTGTGTGTGTGTGTGTGTGTGTGTGTGCCTGCAGAGGCCAGAAGAAGGTGTTGGATACCCTGAACCTAGATTTTCAGGTCATTTTGAGGTACCAGATTTATGCACAGGGAACTGAATTCCAGATTTTCTGTAAGAATAGTATGTGTCCTTAACCACTGAGCTACCTCCCAGTAGCTCCTCCCTGGAAATTGCAGTATATTTCCTCCCTGAAAATATAATGCAAAGCAATACTATATCCAAAAGTATTAGAATCTACCTTCCATAAAAGACTATAAGAAAGTACACATGGACATACTGCTATTCCATAGATCAATGCCTTGCTCAATCCTCATGAGAGAAATTTCTCCTTTAAGTAGATAGGAGTTAACACAGAGACTCACAACTATCCCCAAGTTGATACTCCTGGAGAATATAATTATAATTTTTGTATAACAAACAAAATTTTTCTACATAAATAGTTCATAGTCATCGTGGTGGTTTGAATGACAGTGTCCTCCATAGTTTTGGTCCCCAGTTGGTGGAAATGTTTGGGAAGGATTAGGAGGTGTGGCCTTGTTCTAGAACCTGTGTCACCAGGGATGGGCTTTTAGGTTTCAAAAGTTCAGGCCATTCTCAGCTAGCTCTCTCTGTGCCTTGTGCTTGTGGATCAGGATGTAAACTTGCAGCTACTGCTCCAGCATCATGTCTACCTGTCTGCCTCTGTGCTTCCCACCATAATGGTCATGAACTCACCCTCTAAAACCATAAACCTCAATAAATTGTCTCTTCTGTAAATTGTCTTGGTCATAGTGTCTTAGCACAGCAGTAGAAAAGTAACTAAGATAGTCATCTCATTCTTTATAAATACAAACAACCCAAAAGAATATTAAATAGGTAATCCATAGAAGTATATTGCTCAATTGAACCCATAAATATATTTGGTCTTACAACTCATTATGGAAATACAAATTAAGTGACAAAATTTTTTAATAAGACTGATTAATATGTAAATTATTGAAATAACTCATAAGCAGGGAGACAGAGAAATGGGTGTTTTCATCAGTTATTGAGAGGGAAAAAACAAGGATTAATGATGAAGTTTAGGTTCAGATGAACTTAGCCTAATATGAGTTTACCATTTACCATTTAATCAATATACCAGAGTCACAATCTGTATATTCTCATTATGGTATAAATACCACAAAATGTCCACTGTTGTCAGCCATACTAATTATTGTTATAGACAATTTGAGAAAATTAGAAAAGGCAATAAAAGTTATTACTACTAGATACAAAGATTTTTGATATATTTCATTCTCATATGGAAACTTTGTACTCCTAAAAGTCAGTGAAAATCCATTTATTCTAATTAGTAAGGGTTTATTAAGGTAGGCAAGTAGTAGTTGTAGAATATTTAACTATGTAAAGATAGATGTGTTACATTTGTTTATGCTGCATTTGTTTAATTATGTAAAGATGTGTTGCTATTTCACCTTGCCTGCCTAAGGCACCTGATTGGTCTAATGAAGAGCTGAATGGTCAATACCTACTCAGAGAAAGCATAGACAGGGCTGGTGGGCAGAGGAGAGTAAGTAGGAGGAGGAATCTAGGCTCAAGGAGGAGAAAAAGAAGAGGAGAAGAACAAAGAGAATGAGAGAAAAAGAGAGGGAGATGGCTTCCAGCCAGCAGACACAGAGTAGGGCATACAGAAAGTAAGGGAAAAGCCCCAAGGTGAAACATAGATAAAGAGAAACAGATTAAATCAAGAGGTAAGCTAAGCCTGAACATTCAGAACAAATATTAAGTCTCTGTGTCTTGATTTGGGAGCTGGTTAGTGACCCAAAAGAAAAAACCTGGTACATGCCATTAAGGTAAACACATAATAAACAAACAAACAAACAAAAATCCACATTTCTTGCATTGTAGAAATAATTGGAAATATAACGCAAAGCAATATTATATCTACAAGTATCAGAATCTACCTTCCATGGAAGACTATACGAAAGTACACATGGACATACTGCTATTCCTATAGATCAATGCCTCGCTCAATCCTCATCAGAGAAATTTCTCCTTTAAGTAGAAAGGAGTTAAAACAGAGACCCACAAGTAGACAATGTGCAGAGAGTGAGAGATTTTGGAACACAGAGTCCTAAATAGGATGTCTTCTCAAGGCTAAGGGGTCTGCACAGAAGAGGAGGAAGAAAGATTGTAAGAGCCAATGAAATTGTCTTCCAGACACAACAGATATGATGAACAAAGGAATTTAAACAGACTGTGACAGCAACATGCACAAGATCTGCACAGATTCAAGCCAGATGAGGTCTCAGCACCGAGAAGGGGGAAGTTGACAGGGGTCCTACCCCTAACCAAGAAGCTATCTGCAATTGATACCTCCTATCAAAGGGAAAATTGGTTTTCCCCAACAGAGTCTTCCTGGGTATATCAACCACATTCCAGGGCGGGCCCCATGCCCCGAGAGGTTGGCTAACAGGAAATGATGTCCACAATTCTTCACCCTTCCTTCCCTCCCTCTGTCCCTCCTTCCCTCCCTCCTTTCCTTTCTTGTGGACTTTTTGCTTTTCCTGTTTGTTTTGATTTGTGTTTTGTGTGATTATTTCTGAGAGAGAGAGAAGTAGGGAGAATCTGGGAGTTGAGAGGGGCAATAAAACAAAAACAAAGATGAAAACAAATTGAGATGCAGTGTTTTCTTTTAAAGAGTGGATTGAGCCAGGTGTGGCGGTGCACACCTTTGATCCCAGCACTTAGGAGGCAGAAGGCAGGTGAGTTCGAGGCCAGCCTGATCCACAAAAAGAGTTCCAGGACAGCAGAGCTACACAGAGAAATCCTGTCTGGGGCAGGAGTGGAATGAGTGAATGTACAGAATACAGATGGAATTCCCTCAGGGCACAGTGTCAAGTATTTGTTGTACACACATTACAAGCAACTCAGCCATGCTTCTTCTTTTAGTCATTACTGTCTCTGCCATAGGCTTTGACAAGCCTCATCTGGATGCAAATTGTTCACCCCTCACTTAAGCCCACACTGGATACATCTAAACTTCCAGCCACAAGGCATGTGCATCTAGACACATTTTATATGGTTTCCCTCCAGAATCTCTCAGGGAGCCAAGAAACAAGCCAGAAACTTACTCTTGTGTTTTTAAACATTTTGAATTATTACTATATTTTTAAAAAATCATTCATATTTGTATTTTTTAAAATGTAGAGGATCTATAGCATCACATACATTATAGATTCCATATAGGGGTGTGAATAAATAAAATGTCTAGCCCGGTAGATGGGAATATGAAACGAGAGACTGTGGAGCTGTTTGGAAAGGAGACCACAGGAGTTTGAGGCTGGCAAGGGTCAATGGGGATGTTCCATCTAGACGCACTGACTCTGGACCATCTCCACGCAGACAGTACTGAAGCAGTCTGCAGGTTATCACTCATCTCACCAGCCTTACACAGGAGAACCTAGCACTTCACTCACAAAGAGGCCACTCATTCACTCCAACCATCTGTTCGGAAAGATTGAATAAAATCTGAAACTTAAAGCAATGGGTTAAGTTAATCCTAAGATTTTTTTGAAGGTTAAAGTTTAAAAACAAAAGATTGAGGGTTCTGGTTGCAGGGAAGTAGATTTACCGTTTACTTCTTAGGTAGCACTGTCCTTTAGCATGGGGTCTGAAACCACTGGAAACTGTGTAAGTACGGCAAAGGGTTTGGGAAGCTGAGCTGGGATTGCCCCGTTTGATGTTCACTTGGCAGACTGCTTTGCTCCAGCTGCTCCAGATGTTACCATTTTCTGTGTGTCATGCCATGAAAAGTCTGACACCCACGGGGTTTAAGTCTTCACTACAATTGCTTGTTTTTGAGAATCCTCTCGGGATGTTTACACTCGGATTTCTCTGAATAGCATATCAAAAGTACTTTCAAG